GATACGACACCCAAAGTGCTCATGATTGAGAGAAAATACTTTGGTGAATTCATAGGAAACTTAGCAAGGGAGATTCCGACAATAAGGGAAATCATAACCTTAGACTTTTCCAAATCTTGTCTACAATATTTGCTCTATTAGTTATAAATTACTACATTTTAGTTACTCTTATCTTAGTTCGTAAACACTCAAATCGATATTTAGTATTTCTGTAGGTTGATTATTTGAATTCTTGCAAAACTAGTGGTTGTAATAATAGGTTAATTTCCTGTGGGATTCGACTCCGGACTTGTAAACCAGATTATATTTGCAATGACCGCTAGACCTCTTAGGAGGCGTAGTTGGGCGTGATTAAATTTTGGTACCGTTGCTGGGGAACTAACAGTGTTATTAATTACAGCTAGAAGAATGGCTAGTATTCTAAGTTTAGTCAATTTTCTTCATTTTAAATTCATTATATTGAAATTCTTACGTTTGTAGTCTTGTGTGTTACTGGTGCATATCTAGAAACTCCTCAAGAACTGGTGAATTGTTTGAAGCATTACTAGATCTTGAGAAAACTTTCAAGGCATTAAATCATGAAAACAAGAAGGACAAATGACAATAAAACCTAACAGAACAGATCAAACTAGAAATGGGGGATTTCATAGACGACCAGAACAACCGAAACAATGTGAATGACACGAACAATCAGGGTGTGGCACCTCTTATGCCAGAAGTGGCCTTGTATAATTAAGCACAACCTACCGCTGAAAATCTGGAAACCATAATTGTAGCCTCTCAGATACAAGTAAAGTCATTTAAAATTACAAACAACATGCTACATCTGTTGCAGAACAAGGGACTGTTCTCTGGGTCTTACATTGAAGATCCACAACAACATCTGATTTTTTTGTTGTCAATTTGTGTCATCAAAGGCAAACGAATGTGACACCTGAAGCAATCAGACTGTTATTGTTTCCATTCTTGGTGACTGGAGAAGCTGAGACTTGGCTTAATTTGCTCCCCATAAATTCCATCACCATTTGGGAGGAATTAGTCAAGCAGTTTTTGAATAATTTCTAACCATCCAATAAGACTGCCAAACAAGTTTATGAGATATTGAGCTTCAGGCAAAAATCAGCTGAAACACTATAAGAAACGTGGGAGAGGTTTAAAGGTATGTTGGTTAGTGTCCACATCATGGCATTCCAGATCAGATGTTGGGAAAAAGGTTTTACATGGGATTGGCAGATAGCTTGTAACGACCCGAGCAATCATTTTGCTTTCAAGAACCCTGTTCCCCTAAATGAGACTTCCCGTACTTGCTTTTACTGATTTATGACTTGTGGGGATGGTTATTTTGGGATTTGAAAGAGTTCGAGTTGAAATCGGAACACTTGGTTCCTTAAGGTTGACTAAAAAGACCAAGCTTGACTTCGGTCAACATTATGAGTAAATGACCTCAAAATCAGGATTTGATGGTTCCAATAGGTTCGTACAATGATTTCATACTTGGGAGTATGTTCGGATCGGGTTTTGGACGACCCTGGAGCATTTTGGCGCCTAATAGCGAAAGTTGGTTCTTGAAGGTTTTAGAAGTTCTTTAAATTTGGTTTGGAGCCGGTTTTGGTGATATCGAGGTCCAAACAGGATTCCGAGATCGGGAATAGTTCCATAATATTATTTAAGACTTTCATGCAAAATTTGGTGTCAGTCCGAATAGTATAAGTACGTTTCGGCGCATTCGAAGTAAATTTAAGAACTTGAAGTTCTTAAGTTTGATTCAATTGGTGTTAGGGTGTGATTCTTAGTTTTAATGTTGTTTCGGGCATTCTGAGAGTTCGAGCAAGTCCGTTTTATGATTCAAAACTTGTTGGTATGAGCTGGCGGGGCCCCAGTGCCAAACAGATAAGGCTCAGACGAAGTTGGAAACTTGGAGCAAGAGCTGAAGCTCCCAAGATTTGTCATAATTGCGTCTGCGCTTGGCCAGTCACAGGTGCAAGCTTGCAGGTGTGAGCGAATCCTCGTAGGAGAGGCCAAGAATGGGCCACCCAGGTACCGCAGATGCAGCCCATCCTCCGCAGAAGCGGGTACCCGTCTGCAGGTGTGACACCAGCCGGCCCAGGCTATTTTCGCAGAAGCGGACTCTTGTCCACAGAAGCGAGGGTGCAGGTGTGGCTCTTTGACCGCAGGTGTGGAAATCGCTAAGGCAGTGAGCTTCATTTAATACGGGCTTAGGCCAATTTTTATCACATTTTCTTCCACACTTAGCGATTGGAGAGCTTTTAAGGAGGGGATTTCGACCTAGCTTGTAAGGTAAGTAATATCTATTTAATGTGAGTTTAATACACAGATTTTGGATAGATTTTAACATGAAAGTTGGTAGAAATTATGGGTTTAAATGAAAAACCTAGGGTTTAATAAAAATGGGATTTTACCACAAAAACAATTATGGAACTAAGTAAAAAATCATATATTTATGTTCCTTACAGTATGGGTAACAACTTTCTTCGAATATTTACGGAATCCGGGCACGGGGTGAATTTTAGGAATCTTGCATTTTGGGATGAGTAATCACTTAGATAGTTAGAATATAAACTTTTGAACACATATTGATCGGTTTTTACACTATTTGAATAGTTTTGGATTTTTTCGGCTCTGATTTGAGGGTTTGAGCGCATTCTTAAATTTGGAAGTAAGCCTTGAGACGAGATAAGTCTCCTTGCTAACCTTGTAAGAGGGAATTAACCCTATAGGTGAATTAAATAAATGTATGTATCTATTTGTGGGGGCTACGTACATACGAGGTGACAAGAGTCCGTACGTAGCTACTAATATGCTATTGTCCGGGTAGTTTAGGACCCATATCATGCTTTATTTGAAATATTTGCGCCCTTACTTGCTAATTTAATTACTTGAGTCAAGTCGGAAATTTCATAAAAGGAGTGTAAAAGGTTAATTTCCTTACTTGAAGATTTAATGGATTACTTGACGGTAAATGTGAAATTTGTGTTTTCTTTGAAAATAATTGCTATTTATGGATCGGGCTGAACGCCTCGATAGTAAATAGATGCATCTATGGTTCACATCGTTCGACCCTCCGGCAGTGCACAATTTAAATATTATATTGGATCGGGCCGTACGACCTCGGCATAATTTGCGCATGATAATTATTTGGAACTCACCATGATTGATACCGTTTAAATATCCTAAAATGTAAGTTGTTAAATGGTATAACTGAACATGAAATCTATATTTGTGAAAGAAGAACTTATCATTTCCTGTTATTGAGATTTCAATATTATTCATGAAATCCATGCTTAGTATAACACTTTAATTATATTATTATTAGCCCATAGTAAGTGTCAAAGTCGACCCCTTGTCACTACTTCTTCGAGGTTAGACTAGATACTTACGGGATACATGTTGTTTATGCACTCATACTACACTTCTGTACTTAATTGTACAGGATCTGAGACAGGTGCATCTAGTTACCCATCCGGCGCGCGTAGTTGATCCCCACCTCGAGACTTTATGGTGAGCTTCTTTCCGAGTCGTTCTGCAGCAGCTGGAGTCTCTTTTATGTTTTACCTTTCTGTCTATTTCCTTTCAGACTGTAGACTAGTATTCCTTTGTATATTCTACTAGATTGCTCACACACTTGTGAAACCAGGTCTTGGCACACACACTAGTAGACTTATGATTTTGGGTTTGCTTACATGATTTCGATTTGTGATTATTGCTCCCATTTATTTATTTTACCCTTGCAAATTTCTAAATCTTTTTAACAAATAAGGAAATGTTACTACTTCATAATTTATTTAAATGGAAAACCACTAGTTGATCACTGTTGGCTTGCCTAACGGCTGTGTTGGGCGCTATCATGACCCATAATGGAATTGGATCGTGACATAGCTTGAAGGCCAGCATTGATGCTTCAGCAGGTGGAGTATTTTTGAGCAAATCATTTAGAGAGTGTAAGGTCATGCTATATAAAATGTCTCAAAACTTAGGATGGATGACAAGAGACACTATGATTAACCCTATAGTTCACTTAGTCGTTTTGGACCCAAACAGCTCAATAGCCGAGAATATGGCCACTCTGATGATGCAATTGAGTATCCTCACAAGAATATTGATAAATCAGGCCAGAAGCAGGTACACATATTTAACACGACTAATGTGGGCTTATGTACACCATGAATTAACCAACCATATATGTGCTCGTGGAATGGTGAAAGTGACAACCAGAACTATCAAGAGAATATGAACTATGTGGCAACTATGGAGGCCAGAGGCAAGGTGGTCAGAATTGGGAGTAGCAGAATCAACAGTATAGACCAGCTTAACAACAATACAACAACAACAATTCAGGAGCTATACGACCATATGGTCAAGTCGTGCCTTACCAAAGGCAATAGGGATAAAATCAGCAAAATCAGGAGCTAGCTTATCAACAACCTCAACAACAACAGATAGTGAGACAAGATGATGGATTGTCTGAAATTAAAGGAATGCTACAACAACTGATTAGGTCCAATGGAAAAATGCAAGAGTCGAAGCACATGACTCGGCAATAAAAGGCATTAAGATTTTATTAGGAAAAATATCTATGGCTCCGAATAATCATCCCCAAAGGGCATTACTTACGGACACGCATGTCTATTCGAAAGAGCATGGCCCGAAGCAGCTTATGGTGGTGAGTCTAAGAAATGGTAGGGATCTTGATCTAGAGCAAGAAATTTCTCACGAAATCCAACCAATTGAGATACTTGTTCTAGTACCAATTGAGGTGGAATATTCAATAGGGTTAACAAAGGTAACAATATAACATGCATAAGAGGAAACAAGCAAAGAAAAAGAGGTTGCATGAGACAGAGAAAGTGCAAAAGAAGGCATCAGAAACAATGTTGGGGCAGGATCTAACTTAAGTCACTGGAAGGAAACGACCTCCAGCACCCTTTCGGTAAAGGTTGGGTAAATATTAGAAGGATGAACAGTACAAAAAGTTCATGGAAATGTTAAAGCAAATTCAGTTAAACATTCCTCTAATTGATGCTTTGAGGGAGATGCCCGGTTATACAAAAATGATGAAGGACTTGATGTTTCACAAGTTTGACTTTCAAGACTTGGTAACTGTGAAATTGACTCAGACTTATAGTGCTATTATGACAAGACCTATAGCGGAGAAGCTATCCGACCTTGGCAGCTTCACAATTCCATGCACCATAGGTAGCTATGCATTCGCGAAAGCATTGTGTGACTTGGGGGCGAGCATTAATTTGATGCCATTGGCTATCTATAGAAAGTTAGGTATTGGAAGAGCAAGGAAAACATCTATGTTACTATAGCTAGCTGAATGAACGTTGAAATGACCATCGAGTATACTTGACGATGTACTTCTGCAAGTTGGAAATTTTTTGTTTCTGGTAGATTTTGTCATTCAGGACTGCCAGGTTGATCAGGAGATTCCCATAATTTTGGGAATGCCGTTCTTGGACAAAGGAAGAGATATGATTGATTGTGAAACTGGGGAGCTGAAAATGAGGCTAAATAACAAAGAAATAACATTTAATGTTCAAAAGTCTATGCAGCGACCCAATGAGTTTGCAAATTGCTCTTTGATAGAAGCTGTGGATGTGATCATGGAGGAAGCTAATGAGGCACTTAATGCAAAAGACCCTCTAGCAGCTTGCCTCACGAACATAGAAGAGGTAAATGGTGAGGACTTGGCGGAGTGGGTGTTGGCTCTTGAAGGCCAAGAATACTGCAAAAGAGAGCTCGAATTCAAGTCTTTACACTTAGAAGAAAGAAAGACCCCTCCAGCTAAGCCATCGATCGAAGAGCTACCACAGTTAGAACTGAAACCACTACCATATCACCTCAGGGATGCTTTCTTGGGACCTAAATCAACTTCAGCCATTATTATCTCATCTGGTTTGTTAGATGTGTAGGTAGAACATATTCTGCAAGTGTTAATAGAGTGCAAGACTGCAATTGGTTGGACCATTGCACATATTAAGGGTATCAGCCCGGCCTTCTGTATGCATAACATTCTACTGGAAGATAGGCACAAACTATCCACAGAACATCAAAGAAGGCTGAACCCCAACATGAAAGAAGTCATGAAGAAGAATGTGATCAAGTGGTTAGATGCGAGAATCATTTTTCCCATCTCCGACAGCAACCCGGTTAGCCCCGTTCAGTGTGTGACAAAAAAAAGTAGAATGATTGTGGTGCAAAACGAGAACAATGAGTTGATCTCAAAAAGAATAGTCACGAGATGGAGAATTTGTATGGACTACAGAATATTGAACAAGGCCACTCGAAAAGACCATTTTCCCTTGTCGTTCATTGAGCAGATGTTAGATAGATTGACAGAGAGGTATTTTGCTTCTTAGATGGATACTAGGGGTATAATCAGATCTCTATTGCCCCAGATGATAGAGATAAATAGATTGGCAGGGAGGTCTTTTGCTTCTTGCATGGATACTCGGGGTATAATCAGATCTCTATTACCCCAGAGGATAGAGATAAAATGTCATTCACCTGTCCATATGGCATCTACGCTTTCCGGATAATGCCGTTTGGCCTATGCAATGCACCTGCCACATTTTAGAGGTGCATGATGGACATCTTCATAGATATGATAGAGGCCATAATGGAAGTTTTTATGGATGATTTTTCATTGGTGGGAAATTCGTTCGATGACTGCCTTAGGAATCTGAAATGAATTCTGAAGAGATTATGGAGACTAATTTGGTGCTAAACTGGGAAAAGTGTCATTTCATGATACATGAAGGTATAGTCTTGGGACACCTAGTGTCAAGTAAGGGCATTGAGGTGGATCGTGCTAAGGTTGATATAATAGAGATTGGATCGTGTTAAGGCTGATATAATAGAGAAGTTGCCACCACCCACTTCTGTCAAGGCAATAAGAAGCTTCCTTGGCCACGCCTGTTTCTACAAGCGGTTTATAAAAGATTTTTCCAATATTGCTAACCCTTTATGTAAATTGCTTGAAAACGATCACCTGTTTGTGTTTTCTGATGAATGCAGGTGTTGGCCCAAGAACAGGTGAAGTTTTGAAGAATGACAAATGAGCTCAGTCATTGACCAGGTCCATCTTGTGAAGAACTGTTATGATCAACCTACATATGTGAGATGCACGTGAAGGAGATAAGTCCTACTGATCAAGCAGCAATATCTCCTAATCTGATAAAAAAGGTTGCATATTGGATAAGGGGAGAAAGTCTCCTTATATGAAGAGAACACAATAAGGATAAATAGAGTGTTAGATTTTGATATCTTCAAGGACTCAACTACGATAGAAGATCAGAAATTAAGTCCCAATAAAACTTTGATTTCTAACCTATTAAATGACAGTGATTGTTCTCTTTTATAGGTATTGCACAAATGCAGAAGTTAAACAAAATTGAAAGCAAAAGAGCAAGGCAATTTTGCAAGCAATTTATGTGAGATTTAAGTGTGCACTCCTGAAGCTACTTGAACGAGATAGAAGAACCAGTTCCATTATGTTTTTTCTTATTCTAGTTCAATTGTAGTAGGTGGTTTAAAGTTGTACCTTTCAGCTTTTATAGAAGCAATTGTAGTAGGTCCTTTGAGTGTTCGAGTTATAAGCTAACTTGAAGTTGTCGCAGCAGTTGAGGCTGTGTGCTACAAGGGATTAGAGTTAATCCTTAAGTTTACAAAGAGTTTATGTAAATGCTGTTTTGGCTCAGTGATTTTAGTGGTAGTTTGGGAAAATCCTACTGAGTAGTAGGTCGTGGTTTTTTCACCTTTTGAGCCAGGTATTTTCCACGTAAAAATCTCTATGTTCTTTATTTTATGTACTTTTTATTCCGCAAACAGCAATAGTTAAAACATCTAGAAGAACCAGGTTTTTCTAGAGTGAAAATTGGGTACCACACAAATCACCCACCCCCTCTTGTGTGGTATTGACGTTTAGAACATCAATTGGTATCAGAGCAGGTTATCCTTAAAGAGGCTAACACTTTAGGAAAAGAGCAACATGAGTGCACCACCTGGGAACTGGGAAGGGCAATCCACTGCTAGGCCTCCACTTTTCAATGGTCAGTACTATTCTTGGTGGAAGAATAGAATGAGGGATCACAAAATCATAGGATAAGACTATGAACTCTGGGACATAGTCACTGGTGGTCCTCTAGCAACTACTAAGAAGAATGTTGAAGGAGTGGATGTGCCAAAGACAAGAGCTGACTGCACTGCTGAAGACCTGAAGAATTGGGAGAAGAATGTTAAGGCCAATAAATGGCTTATGTGTGGACTAGGTCCAGATGAGTATAGTAGAATTCAAAGTTGTGCCACTGCTAAGGAAATCTAGGAAACTTTGCAAGTGGCTCATGAAGGAACACCTCTAGTGAAGAGGTCCAGAGGAACACTGTTGTATTCTCAGTATGAGAATTTCACCATGAAGGAAGGAGAAACCATCCAAGAGATGTATACAAGGTTCACCACAGTGACAAATGAACTTAAGTCTCGTAGAAGGATTATTCTTGAAGAAGACAAAGTTGAGAAGATTTCGACAAGGGTTCTGCCAGTCTCTTGGGAAAGCAAAATCACTGTTATTCAGGAATCAAAGAACATTGCTACCCTCAAGCTGGATGAACTAATGGAAAACCTTACTGCCTATGAACTACGAAGGCAAGCTATGAAAATGGATGCACCAAAAAAGGAAAGAAGTCTGGCTCTCAGAATTGCTGAAGGTTCGGATATGGAGGATGATGAAATGGCTATGATCACAAGAGATTTCAAAAAGTACCTAATGAGAGGAAAAGGTTCTTCAAGAGGTACAACCTTCAACAAATAGAGGGCTCCTGAGAAACAGACCAATGAGGGTTGCTACAAGTGTGGTAAGACTAATCACATGATCAAGAATTGCCTCAATGGGAAATTGAGTGGAAGAAGGAAAGGGCTGAATGAAGGAACATGAAGAAGGAATATGTTCAACCAAAAAGGAACAAAGGATCAATAAAGGCTATGGTTGCTACCTGGGGAGAAACATCAGATGAGGACTCAGAAGATGAAGCTGGAGATGAACAAGCACTTATGGCCATCAGAGAATCAGATGATGAACAAGAGGTAAGTATACTTCATCTCAAAGACAAGATTAAATTCTTGTCTAAAGAAAGGTTGTCTGAGCTACTGCTAGACTTCATTGATGAGTCTGAGATAATTAACAGTGAGAAGGAAGAGCTGTCTAGGGAATGTATGATCCTAAAAGCCAATTGCAAAAATCTAGAGTCTAGGGCTGATAAGAGTGAAAGTAAAAATACTGAGTTGACACTAGTGTCCTAGAACTTAGGTGTGAGAACTTAAAGCTGAAACTAGGAACAGGAGAGAAGAAAGTTGATCACACACATCTCAACCTAGAAGAAAACTTAGTAAAAATGAAGGATGAGCTGTATAGGAAAGATGAACAGATAAGAGTATTATACGAAGATCTAGGGAAGGTAAAGCATGAACTAGACAGAACTTGCAAATGAAACAAGGCTTCTGATGCACTCTCCTGGCTACAAGAACATCATAGTAGGAACAAAAGTGAATTTGGTTATGGGACTCAAGCACCTAAATGGGATCCTAAAAGCAAGTACCTCACTCTTCCTGAAAACAAAATTTGCACACACTGTGGCAAGACTGGCCATTACAAAAATGAATGTAATGTAAAATAAAAGGCCAATCAAAAGAACCTTTTGTTCAAGAAAAAATAGGCTGCCTGGGTGGGCTAGAAGGAATCTGATTTATCCCTTTGCCCATAAAAAGGGACACAAACTAGTTTGGATTCCTAGGACTAACCCCTGATTTCTTTTTCCAGGTCCAAGTGAAGGGAAGCAGCCAAATATGGTACATGGATAGTGGCTACTCAAAACATATGACTGGAAGCAAGAACCAGTTCCTTTCACTTGAGGACTTAAGGGGAGGCAATGTCTCCTTTGTAAATGGGAAGAAATGTGAGATCATTGGGGTTGGAAAGGTAGGTAAGATAGACTCTCACTCCATTCAGAATGTCTACTTGATAGATGGCTTGAAATACAACCTGATCAGTGTGTCACAACTATGTGACAGAGGTAACCTTGTAGCATTTACCTCTACTAAATGCTTTGTGATTAACCTTACCACAGACAAGATTATTTTTAGGGAAAAAGAGTTAACAATATTTACATTGTAGATTTGTCTACTCTCTCAGAAAATGAACTAACCTGCCTAAGTGTGCTGGATAATGATCCCCTCCTGTGGCACAAAAGACTTGGTCATGCTAGTCTGAATCAGTTAAACAAATTGGTTTCTAAGGACTTGGTGATAGGGTTACCCAACATCAAGTTCAAAGAAGAAAAAGTTTGTGAGGCCTGTGCAAGGAGGAAGCAGGTAAGATCATCTTTCAAAATCAAGAAAATGGTAAGCGAAACCAAGTCGTTGGAACTGGTCCATATGGATCTCTATGGTCCAATAAGAACCATGAGCAGAGGAGGAAAGAAATATGTAATGGTACTTGTTGATGATTATTCTAGATTTACCTGGGTACTATTTCTAACATCTAAAGATGAAGCATTTGACATGTTCACTACCTTTGTTAGAAAAACTCAAAAACAATTAGGAAATCAACTTGCATCAATTAGGTCTGATCATGGAACTGAATATGGAAATGCTAAGTATGCTGAATTTTGTGATGAAAATGGTATAGTACATAACTTCTCTGCCCCTAGGACCCCTCAACAAAATGGAGTAGTTGAAAGAAAGAACAAGACTCTTGAAGACATGGCTAGGACTATGCTTCTTTCTAGTAAACTGCCTCATAGCTTCTAGGAAGAGGCTGTAAACACTACATGTTACATTATCAATAGATGCATTACTAGACCTCTTGTAGAGAAGACTCCCTATGAGTTACTTAAAGGGAGAAAACCAAATATATCCC